TCTTGAACTATCTTCAAGTCTAGCTTGTACATTCTGTTCTTCTTCATTTCTACTCTGACAATCAAACGATTTGTCTTGTCTTTCAAGTATAGTACTCGGTCTTTCATTAGAACCGAGTAGCCTTTCTCCATCAGCTGACCCATGCTCAATATGTTGATTTTAAGATCGGGTACATAGTAAACGTCTCTGATTTCTCCAACTCGGCTATTCTTCTGCAGGTACCAGATTGTACCTCGGCCTTTTACTGCTACCTTTGATGCATCTCTAAACGACACGTGTCCGACCTCAAATTTAGTGAGCTCCTTAAAAAGGTTCTCGTCCCCGCACATGTGGTTACTTGCTCTTGTATCAAGATACCAAACCGAGTTGTCAGAACAGCTCGGACTTAGCTCGATACCCAAACTTCTTTACATCATCAATACTCCTTCTTCCTCAGCGTCCTCAGAGAGGAGGTTTGTTTCCTTCTTGCTCTCAGATTGACAGTCTTTCGCGAAATGTCCAACCTTCCCACAATTATAACATTTGATACCTGAATAGCAGTCCTTAGCAAAATGACCGTACTTCCCACATTTGAAGCACTCAACTCCAGAATTGTTTGACTGACCATCTCGGCCTCTACTGCCACGACCTCTACCTTGTCCTCGGCCACGCCAGTTTTGTTGACTGACTTACTCCGTACCTCTTTCATATCCTCCTGTGCCTCTACCACCTCGGCCTTGAGTGTTCTGAGCATAAGGAACTTTCTCCTTTAAGGTTGTCTTTGCTTGGAGTGCTTGATCAAGGGACTCCTCTTTCTTCTTCCTTCTCTGCTGCTCATGCGCTTCAAGCGACCTGGCAAGCTCTTCCACTAAGAGCACCGACAAGTCCTTGGACTCCTCTATTGCACAAACGATATTCTCAAAGTCTTTGGTTAACGAACCTAAGATTTTCTCCACCACTCGGCAAGTGGGCAACGTCTCCATTTCTTTTGAGTTGATTCACCACGGTCTCAACATGGGAGACGTACTCGGCAACCCCTTCGACCTCTTTCATTCTCATGTTTTCAAGTTCGCCTCTGAGAGTTTGAAGTCTAACTTGCTTCACGTGATTATCCCCTTTAAATGTTTTCTCCATAATATCTCACGCTTCTTTTGAAGATTTAGCATTTGTTATCTTCGTTGCTCGATTCCCAAAAAATTATGGATATGGCTCCAAAACATATTCAATCATGGTATGGACTAATCTACAATTGATAATCTAATGAATTTTATGCAACTCTCATCAACTCAAAGATGTTAAACTAGTCATTAATGTGATTTAGATCATTTGAAAGCTTAGGAATACTAACAAGCACTAGAACCCTTTGTCCATTCAATCTACCATTAACATCATCAAAAGTAGTACTAAACTTGTTGTTGACAAATCAAAAGGGAGAATGATCAATAACATTAAGGAGTTCTCAATTCTCATACATTTTAATAATCAAATTCATCCAAGACAACACAGTAACACAGTAAGTGATACCTAAGAACAACAAATTTTAGAACTAAATAATTATTGTTGTTTTGATCATGAATGATACAACTAGTATTCAAAGATTTAAAACTGTCTTTTCTCTTAATTGTCAATTATTACGTCCTCAATTTTTATAACAGAAAACAAACTTCTGACTAACTACTTGATTACACCAACTGTTTCAATTTAACTATGTTTAAGTTTACTCAAAAGTAAGACCATCCAAGTTAACTAGGGTTTCCTTTGTTGGGAATATTACTTTATTATCTTTTATTTAAATTTGGTATTAAGAGATTTTATTATCTTTTAAGAGAGAAGGTAAAAAGACATTAGGAAATTATTTTGATTTAGGTAGTTATGATTGAGATATTATGAATATTTAATATTTTGTAATATTTTTACTCTATATATACATAGAGTACATGAATAGAAATACACTCACATGATATATCAAAAATACATATACATAAAACCCTAAAAATTCTCAACAAATTGGTATCAAGAGCTTTGGTTCGATACAATGGAAGGAGAAAGAATTTTTTCACAAGTCACAGTTTTTGATGGCAAAAGTTATGACTTATGGGATGTGAGAATGCAATCCTATCTTGAAGGATTGTATGTATGGGAAGCTGTAAAGGAATATTATATTGTTGATCCACTACCTGAAAATCCCACCATAGTTGAAATGAAATTTCACAGAGAAAGAAAAATGAGGAAAGAGAAAGCTAAATCATGTTTGTTTGTTCGTGTTTCACAAATGATCCTCATTAGAATCATGACGCTAAAGTTACCCAAAGAAATTTGGAATTATTTGAAAGATCAATATGAAGGGGATGAGAAAATTCGAGGTATGAAAGTTCTAAACTTGATAAGGGAATTTGAGATACAAAAGATGCAAGAGTCTCAAACAATTAATGAATACTCAAACAAATTGTTGGGTATTGCTAACAAAATAAAATTGTTAGGCAAAAAATTTTATGATTCCAGAATAGTTGAAAAAATTTTGGTAACTGTGCCAGAGAGATATGAAACATCTAGTACATCATTGGAAAACACAAAAGATTTGTCTAATATTATTTTGACAGAAGTGTTACATGCTTTACAAGCGTAAGAACAACAAAGATTGATGAGAGGAGGTCATGCTGCTGGTGAAGGTTCTTTACTATATCATGATGGAGGTTCTCTCCAAGCCAAGAACAACAAATGTACAAAATCACAAGTATTTTCTATTTGTCCTTATTGCAAGAAAAATAATCACACACCCAACAAATGTTGGTGGAGACCTGATGTGAAATTTCACAAATGTGGTCAATGACGACATATAGAAAAGATATTCAAATCACAACCAGAGAAAATCATTCAAGTTATAGAGGATAAAGTAGAAGAGGTAATTCTCCTTGCATCAACATGTTCTACAATCAACAAATCCACGGTTTGGCTTATAGACAGTGGTTGTAGAAACCACATGACTCATGATCGATAACTTTTTAAAGAGCTCAACGAATCACATATTTCTAAAATGAGAATCGGTAATGGAAAAGAAATGGATGTGAAAGGTACGGGAACAATTACAGTTAAAAGTCATTCGGGTATCAAATCAATTTTTGATGTTTTATATGTTCCTGATATAAATCATAATTTGTTAAGTGTTAGTCAATTATTGGAAAAAAGTTATAAGGTGTGTTTTGAACAGAAACTTTGTGTAATTAAAGATACAAATAACTTGGAAATATTCAAAGTCCATATGAAAGAAAAAAGTTTCACTTTAGATTTGATGAAAGAAGAGATGATTACAAACAAGGATATAAAAGACAAGTTAAAGAAAAAACATGAAGAAGATTTCTTGAAGGAACTTGATGTTAAAGAGGAAAATAAAGATGTAGATGAAGAAATCGTTTTCAAAGTCCATCAAAGAGTCAATGGTACTACCATGAAGAAGTTTGAAAGAAACAAAGGAGATGAAGTTAATAAAGGAAGAAATACTTTGATGAAGAAAATAAAGTTGAATGAAGATGTGATCTCATACAAGAAAGAAGATGACAAGAAATACAAACAAAAAATAAGGAAAAATTATAAGCAAAATAAAAGAAAAATAAAAAATTATCAAATTCAAATAAATAGATATTAAAGTAAGGAGGAATGTTGGGAATATTACTTTATTATCTTTTATTTAAATTAGGTATTAAGAGATTTTATTATCTTTTAAGAGAGAAGGTAAAAAGACATTAAATTATTATTTTGATTTAGGCAGTTATGATTGAGATATTATGAATATTTAATATTTTGTAATATTTTTACTCTATATATACATAGAATGCATGAATAGAAATATACTCACATGATATATCGAAATACATACACATAAAACCCTAAAAATTTTGAACATCCTTGTCATGGGCTACATTAAGTGTAATGTTGATGGAGCTTCTCATGATGCTCCCGAAATTGCTGCTGGCGGTGGTATGGGTTTTCTACTTTTCTTGCTTTCAACATTGCATTATATGTTGAACTTATGGCTACCATGATTGCCACTGAATTGGCTTCTAGTAAAATCTAAACAATCTTTGATTAGAGTGTGATTCTATGAATGTGATTCAAACTATCCAAAACTTTGTTATTAAAACTTGGCATCTCAAAAGTTGTTGGACCCGTTGTATGTTGTATGTTGCATGGAGTTAACTAAAACTATAATCTTCAAAATCACACATTTAGAGAGGGAAAGAAGTGTGCGGATAAGTTTGTTAATATTATATTGATAATAGAATTGAATTTCAATCTTTTACCTGATTTCATTAAGACCGATTTTTTTAAAAACAAGCACAAATAACCTTAGTCAAAATTTTGTTAATATTACTTCTCATGGGTTTTGGTTGGTTGCCATGATATTTGTTTTCTTTTTCTTATTTTAATTGAGTTTTTAAATTTTTTTTTAAATCATTCAAAATCATTATAAATAAAATATTTAAATATTTATCTTAACAAAATGTTTGTAATATGCAATTATGAAACATGTATGATATGAATATATTCTAATTAAATTTGTAACATAATTTCAAATTCTTTAAATTATAAAATAATAGTATTTTTAATCTAAAATGACACTAGATAACACCATTAAAGATTTATACAAGAATATTTACATAAAAATAAAATAAAAATCATAGAAAAGAGATATGGGTACTATTGGCCATTAATTACTCATTCAAAAGCATAAATTGCCCAACAAAAACAATCATATTCTCGCCAAGCCTAGGTTTTTCCTTTCCTACCTTAACTCTCCATCATCAAAATTCACAAACTAAAACAAGGACAAATTGAACGTTCACACTACTATTCCATGAATATCTCACATAAAAGATTTTCTATGGAAATCGTATCATTTCCCTCCCAACCACTTGAGGAAAAAAAATAATTAATAACAAACAATTTGATTGTCATTCTAAAAGTTAGAATGTGAGTGGAGACGCAAGGAAAAGATATCAAATTATAACACAATTTGATTCACAATGCCAAGCAAGCTAAGGAAGGCAATTGGAGCAGTGAAGGATCAAACAAGCATTAGCCTAGCCAAGGTAACCAATGCAGCCAATCTTGAAGTCATCATCCTAAAAGCCACAACCCATGATAAAAATCCCATTGAAGAGCGTTATGTCAATGAGATTTTGAACATTGTCTCCTCTAACAAAGTGTATGCAGCCGCATGTGCTCATTGCATAGGCAAACGCATTGGTAAGACCCACAATTGGGTTGTTGCCCTCAAATCTCTTATGATTGTACTTAGAATCTTTCAAGATGGTGATCCATATTTTCCTAGGGAAGTCTTCCATGCAATGAAAAGGGGTTCCAAAATCCTCAATCTCTCAACTTTCAAGGATGACTCCAATTCTAGCCCTTGGGATTACACTGCATTCATTAGAAGATTTGCTTTGTACCTTGATGAACGGTTGGATTGCTTCCTCACCGGAAAGCTCCAACGACGATTCACGTATCACAACCGGTTTCACCAGAGGAACCAAATGAACAAGACAGCCAATGAACGAGGCATCAAAGACATGAAACCCTCGATGGTGCTTGATAGAATTGAACATTGGCAAAGGTTGTTGGATAGAGCTATTGGCACAAGGCCTACAGGGTCAGCCAGGACCAGCCGTTTGGTTCAGATTTCAGTCTATGCTATTGTGCAAGAAAGCTTTGATTTGTACAGGGATATCTCTGATGGGCTTGCTGTTGTTTTGGATAATTTCTTCCAATTGCCATTTTGTGCATGTGCTGCAACATTCAATGCGTGTGTTAAATCCTACAAGCAATTTGACGAGTTATCAGCTTTCTATTCTTTTTGTTCAAGCATTGGGGTTGGAAGGTCCTATGACTACCCGAGAGTGCAAAAGGTTTCTGAAGAGCTTATGGAAACATTACAAGAGTTCTTCAAAGACCAAGCTTCTTTTCCTACAAATAAACACCTTTTTCCTTTACCCAACGATCTTACAGGTTCAAGTTCATCCCATGATGAAGCAAGTGAAAGATATGGATTTGAAAGTTTTTTTGAAACAGGATCCGAATTTGAGTCGCAATGTACATCATTGGAAGATCTCATGAGTGCTAATGATGCTGCCCTGAGTCCTAAGAGATCGCTTGAGGAAGACACGTATTCAGAGCAATCAGACAAAGATGATAAAAAATCGCTTTGTGATGATTATGTTAGTGCAAATGATATTGGTTCAGCCACATCATTATTTGCAATTGATCAAACATCAAGGTCGAGTTGGGAGGCAGTAAATTTTGATGAATTGCAGGCGGAAGTGCAACAAAATCAAACAAATGAGTGGGAGCAACAAAATACAGAAGCAGTTTCCAGTAATATCTCCAAAGATTGTTGGGAGTTAGTATTGGCAAATACAGTAACTGCACCTACTGAAACATCACCCAAATTGGCAAATGTGTTTGACCCATTTGTCAACTTATTTGATCAAGCTCCAGTTCCTCAACACAAGTACAATCCATTCCTGGATGACACAGAGAATGTTGCACCTCTTGCAACCACTAGTGATATATTAATTGACATGTCACCAACATTTAAGGCAACAACACAAGCCCTTTATGCTCAGGATCCTTTTGTATCAACCATCTCAGATCCAAGTTCCAATTCCATAACAAATCCACATCTATTTTTTGGTTACACGCATCCAAATGAGACAGCAAAAGAACCAACTTTCAGAGCTCAAGGTTCTTCTGTAGGGACCAACATAACAGTGCCGTCATCTTTTAATACTAAAACTTCGGATAACATGATTACACCACCAAGTTTCCAGACTCAATGTTCTTTTAAGAATGATTCAATTCCAATATTTCAAGTGCGCAAGTCAAATGTTGATGCCATAATGGAAACACCAACCCTAACTGCTCTTCAGAATCCTAACCATAGTACTGTTCCCTTACACTTCCAAGCACAACATTTTTATTCTTCAACAATGCCACCAACATTTAGTGTAAAGGATTACAATGGGACACCATGGGCAACACCAATGGACAATGATCCTTTTGGACCATTGGCAACATCAATGGACAATGATCCTTTTGGATCATGGCCTAGTGCAAATACCGGTGGACACACATTGAATGTGTCAATGCAAGAGGATAGTTTGTTGCGGCAACAACGACAATGGTTGGAGCAACAACAAAATATCATATCAAAGCATATGAGTTCAGTTTTCATATAAAAATGATTGAAAATTGAAATTTTGTGAAAATATGTAAGTAATGACTCGCTCTTTTTATCTATATTTTCTTTTTTTTTCCTTCCTTTCTTTGTCATTTTGTTTTTATAAATTCTTATATATTCACACTCCGACCTATATAGTTTTTATGATTGTGCCGAAAAGCCCCTTGAAAACGAACTAAATTATGAAAATAAAACTAGCTCAAAATATTTATATTTTAAAATATTTGATAAACTTGAAACATTCTTTCAGAATAGCTGATCAATGAGTAAATGCCCAAATAGGTTTTTAACTTAAAAGTAATAATAGGGCATATTCATGCAATGTATACTCAATATTCACCATGCAATTAACGCAACTTACTAGTTAGTTCTTATTTCTAAATCAACTTAAATAAGAACAATATTAATTATTAATATAGCCATTTTACATGACTTAGTGATAAAAAAATGGTTACAAATTACAAATGATACCAAATGGTTACAAATACCAAATGATACCAAATATCTTACTAACAAAGGTATAACTCACGTATATTATTAAAGACAAACCTCACAATTAATTATACTTGAGAAAGTGTTAATAAGCAAATATCACAAGAAAAAGAGATTGAATTGCAATTTTTTTTTCAATTAAAGTATTTGAAAAGGTTGTCATAAAGAAAAAAAGAAAGGACAAATAGAGAAATGCTTTGTTTTCCACCACCACTATGCAACATTCAATTTTTAGTAAACCACCAAGTTCTAGTATAACATCATAGAGTTATGAGTTTTCTTTCTAAACTATTCTAGTATTTTTGTAGTATTCTTTCAATAGTTTCCTTAAACAATAAATCAAGTATTATTTTATAGTTAAACTTCTTCATGTTCAGGTTACTCACCCAAAAGGAAGGTTTAAATATCACTAAGACTAGATTAGAACATTAGAATGTTTGGAGATTGAATGCTTTGTACTAAGTCACTTCTATTTATTCAAAGATGTTTCTTGAGAGAAACTTTTCAACATTAAATGTCACATAATACATTTCACCAACATACATCATTATATGATGATGAAGTACTCAACTTGTCTTCCTAAAGTTATAAGGTGACTATATGACCTCATAGGACATGTCTTGAAGTTTATCATTTGCAACATCGTTCACTTCAAGTGTAGGGTCTACCTAGTTGGTACCTTGGTCAATATAAGTTTTTTTTTTTTATATGTAGATCCCAAAATTTTATTAGCTCTACTTACTTTCTTATACCTGTACCAGGAATCCAAAATGTACCTCTGGTTGAAGTTCCAAAGAACTGGTATTCCCTAAAGAGTCCAATTTACCTGTATAGCACAAGGAAAGATCTCAATCGGCTAAGGCGAGGGTATGAAGCTCCACTATGGACGGGGAATGAAAGAGAGGAGTCTGGTAAGCATATCGATTCAAGCAAGTCCGACTAGTTGAGGCACCGCATTCCAGACTTGTCATGAACCGCCATTCATTTAAATTGTTGTTTCAACCTAAGACAATAACAACATACCAACCAAATATAATCAAGATAGTTATTTCTCGATTATACTTACAAACAATGCTGTCATTCGAAATGTATTATGAAATATTCTTCGTATTTTTTATTGCATTTTAAAAAAAAAAATTACCCAAAATTTTCTAAAGACTTAAATTACGCCACTAATAATCAAGCACCTTTCTTTCATCAAACTAAATTATTTATGTTTAATGAATAGGTTGTCAGGATGATGATTATGTCATTAAGGATTAGAAAATTAAGTATGTGTTGAAACCATGAGTAAAAAATGAGAAGATTTAAATAGTAAAATGGACTAAGTTTGGTGGGTTGACACATTAATTGGTCTAAAAAATGGAGACGGATTGGTATTTATATTTCACTAGCTTGTTTTTGTCTATCTTCCCTAGTCTACCAACTTGACAAGTGAAGGGTGGGGTATAATGTGAGACAAGCTAACCTGATATAAATAAATATTTATATATTAAAATTAAAACATTATATTTTTTATATTCTTATTATTGAAATAGTAAATATATTATTATATTAACTTAAGTTATAAATATTAACCAATTAAGTTTAAATTATTATTATAATTATTTATTTTAACACATGAATATAGTAATTTTTTAATTTTTCTAATAAAAATATTAATTAATAAATAAAAAATTAATAGATATTCATATAATTAAATATGTATTCTAAAAAAATTTTAGTAGACTAACCCGTCATTACAACAAAATCATTAATTACCAACAGATATGTAATCATCGGACAATGAGTGATTATCAATAGAAATTACCAGACGAAATTACCTAGTGATTACTTGACGAAAATTACCAACGGATCGGTAAATTAATAATTAGTTTTCGATGGATATATCCAGTCGGATAAATTAACAATTAGTTACTAACGAGATATATATCTATCGGTAAATATATAAATATATTTGTATTTATATATTTTATATTTATATATTTACAAGAATATACATTTACTTATATATAAATATAATTTATTTGTAAGTTATTACTAGAAAATTATAGTAATTTAGTGGTTGGAGTATCAGCCTCCAATTTTAAGATATTAGGTTTGAATCCTGCAGGTGACAATTCTCATAATTTAATAATAATTCAAAATGTAATAAAAATAAAATATGATAAATAAATAATTTATCGAATAATTATTAATGGTTTTTTACGAATGTATCCGTTGGTAATTACCGACGAGCTAGAAATAAGGTGGGGTAAAATAAGGCGGTCTAACTCGTTTTGTCATCTCTGTATACTTTAAGAATTTAGAATGAATATGGTCATATATTTTCTTATATAATGAACTCATGCTACATTATTAAGAATCTTCCTACCAAAAATTCTCATCAATAATTCATGATGGGACGGTAAAAATTTCATGAAAAAAAATTCTTTACCATATTTTATTAAAAATAGTTATAAAAAATATTTCAAAATCAAATGGATTTTACTAAAATTTGGTTCTAAAATTGATTACATGCAAGAAAAGATATTAACATATTATAATAGTTATGTTAAAAGGATATTAACATGTTATAATGGTTGTCTTAAAAAGATTATGTCTAATGTGCATGATTAATATCACTTTTAAAATATTTACTTTTTCCCCTTTTAGAAGAATAAAATAGAGTAAATATTTACCAAAATATTTATTTCATTATTGGAGGTTTATATATTTTCATTACAAGCATATAATGAATGAAGATAATATAAATTTTTGTTGCATAAATTTTATTAAAATATTATAAAGATTTCACAAGTGTTAAAATACAACTATTCTATCAATTTAATTCAAAATATAACAAGTGATCAAGTGTTTATCGTAACAACATAATTAATGCATTCAATCATTCAAATGTTTTAGGTAGGTGTTTATCTCAAATCACATCTAAAATAAGATTAACCATAGGCTTAAAAAAATTAATTAAAAAATTATAGAATATGTAAATTAAAGTTCAAAAGGTCTTTTAAATAGGTTATGATGAGGTTAAGATTAAAATATGGTAAATTAAATTCAAATAAAAATAAAGTTAAATATGAACTAGGAATCAAAGAGAAGAAAAGGGGAGAGATTTTAAAATAAATCATAAGAATATTGTATTGGAATAAATAGTTCTTCATTTCCTTTTTCTTTTCTTTTCTTTCATTTTTTCTATATTTTTACATTTTTGTTAGTTTTCGTTCATTGAGTGAATTCATGCTCTTTGAGCAAAAGTATTTTTGTTTTAACATTTCTATTTTTTAAATAAATTAAAATTCAAATCGGCTCAAGGAATTTTTCTTGCATTGACAAAAATTATCACAAACTAACATACATTTTGTATAATTTATTATCACCCTTGTAATTCTTTAAAATCATTTCTAATACAATTGCAAGACTTCTCAAATCATTAAAAGTTAACCAGATAAATATGTTTTTTCACTTTATTAACTTGTAATGTGAATTAAATTAATAAAAAATGATAATATAAGACTTAAAGTGGCTAATAAAAGTTAATAATTATAGGATAGGTTAATTTTGACTCGAGTTCATAATAAATAAATTGCTTAAATAATCTCAATAACTACATATGATCAAGTTCAAATAAGAGAAATAAGTCAAGTTCTAAAATAAAAAAATAAAAAAGTGAACACCCAATCAAAGAATAATTAGTCTAAAAATTCATTTTTAGAACCATTGTCATATATATTTTAACTTGTTCAACTTCCGCATCTTTTCTCATTTTTGTTGCGCTTTCATCACTTCTCTTCCTTCTCATTTTTTTTTCAACTCCCTCCCTAGAGCACCCCTCTTCCTCCTCACTCCACTCCACTCCACTCCTTTCCTCTCATCCCTCACCTTTCTCCTTTCCATGGTGGTTTCTAGTGATTGTTGGTGGTTTGTTGAGGTTGCTAGGGTATTTAATAATGATTCTTCTCCCTCCCTCTGTGTGAGGTCACTTTGTTTCTTACTTTTCTATGATCTTAGTGGTGTTGAATAGTGGTGGCGGCAATGATGGTGAACAACGGTGGTGGTGGTGATGATTGTGATTGTAGTGATGGTTATTGTGATGGAAACTAGTGGTTGTGGTTGTGGTTGGAGGTACATTATTTTTCTTCTACGTAAGTTTTTGTTCTTCATCACCTTTGTTATGATTATAGTATATTGATAGTGATTTTGTACTATTGAACAAATTTGTGTTGAGCCTAATTCTTGACAAATTGTATTTATAATTATAAAATGTCTATATTTTAGATGTTATGTTGTCAAAATTTTAGAAAACTATGGATCAAAGTTGGATTAATTCTTTATGCATAACTAATGAGTATGAGAAAGGAGTGAAAGAATTTGTACTACTTGCACAATACAAAACTTCTACCAACTTTGATGAAGGAAGATTTAGGTGTTCATATGTTAACTGTTTCAATGAAAGAATACTAAATGTTGAATAAATTGAAAGCAATGAGGGGAAGATTGATGGAAATGTTCTTGCATTCCCAAGAGATGATTTTGATGATGATTCAAGTCAACTACATTCAAGTCAACACCATTCAAGATGAATTTAAGGACAAGCTGAATTTATGACGTAGGTGACAATGTGAAACATTTCCCTACATGCCCAATATATGTTTTTGATAAAGATGATGATTGAAGCAAGCCCAAGATGATTCCTAAAGACTAGATAGAGTCTTAGAATACTGGATATGGAGGTACAAGTTGATGAAGTAATATTATGCATAAGCTTCCAAAACACAAGTGTGATAAAATTCATAACATGATATTTTTCACTGTCATAATTAATTATGATGCACCAGAAATGGAAAAATGATTTTCTCTATCATAATTAATTATACTGGTAATATCATCAATTATGGAAATTCAAATTTGAAAAATATATCCGTTTTAAAGAATAAATGTTTTTGAATACATCCTGATTTTCTCTATGATATTATTAATGTCCAACGACCATTTTATGATGCTATTTTTCTATTTAATTAAGTTTTGATGAAAAATCAAAAACACACAATTACAAAATTCGAAAATAAAATTTACATTCAATTAGTTTTGAGAAAAGAATTCTGAGCAAGACAACAGAGATATTTTACATCTCTTGAGAAAACCCTCTTCTCTAGTGACTTATGTGCTTTCATTGTTAATCACACTTGTTCTTGGAGATTGACATTCTGCAGGCTTCTACAATTTGTTGTCTCCATTACCCAGGTGTGTCTATTCTTATTTTTATTACCTTCATCCTTTTTGCATTGGTGGAAAAGGAGGTGCTTTTCATCCCTAGTGTGATTCTAGGGAGGTGTTCATCTTTAGTGGGATTCTAAGGAGGTGTTTTTCATCCTTTGATTTGTTCAGAAAAGGTGTTCATCCCTAGTGACATTCTAGGGAGGTGTTCATCCTTAGTGGGTTTCTAAGGAGGTGATTGTCTTTTTAATTAGTTTACTTTTTACTGGTTCTTCTGTTGAGTCTATTGTAATTTGTAAACTGAATTTGAAAGATAGTGAATGGGGAGTCACTCTTGTGTTAAGAGTTGACTGGGAACTGGATGTAGGGTTGACTATACCCGAACCAGTATAAATCTCTGTGTGTTCTTCTCTTTCCCTTATCTCTTTCTCCTTTCCTGATTATATTATTGCTTCCATTTTAACAAATTATTGACTCATAAATAAATTTTTAATTTGACATCTATTTTAATTTGTGCATCTATTCACCCCCCTCTAGATGCCATTTGTCTAACAAGTGGTATCAGAGATTGGTTAGATAAGATATTTCTAAACGATTTGTCAAGATGTCTATGCAGAATCAGGTTTACAGGGAAGGAGCCTCAATAAACAGACCACCATTATTTGAAGGAGAGAAGACTATCAGTTTTGGAAGGCAAGAATGGAAATATTTTTACAAACACTAGATTAC